AGCGAATGCTTCTCATTAAAATTCAACAAGCAAATAACGATAACGAGGGAATCCATTACCGGACTGATATGATGTTCTTTAAACTCGGGCGACTGCAAGCAGTCACAAAAGTGAAGGAAACATACATTGTGGACTTACTCTGTTATGATAACTGTAAACTCACCGCCAGCTCAGAAGAAGTCATGCAGACTAACTTGGACAGGCGTGCAACATTTACGGCCTTACAATTAAAAAAAAAAACAGTCCTGAATTCATTTAACAACCAAACTCCTGGGAAACCATATTGCGAACCGTGGATTACAGGAAAGGGTTCTAAACTCCAAGCTGTCGACAGTTTTACTTACCTGGGCAACTTCTCAAGTGCAGTCAGATTTGACATTGAGGTCAACAGTAGAATTTAGAAAGCTAGCTCAGCCTTCGGGAGACTGCATAGGAATGTTTGAGACTGCAGAAGAATCAGTCTTACCACCAAGAGGAACGTGTACCGTGCTGCAGAAATCAGCATCATCAAGGAAATGTGGATTGTCTACAGTAGACATTCCCAGCAATGTATTCAATGCTACATTAGCTTTCTCTGAAAGACTATGCATATAAGGTGGCAAGATAAACTTACTGATACCGAGTTTCTCACAAGGACCAGCAAGCCCATATGTCTTGATGCTAGCTTGAAAGGTATCATGTTAGACTGTTCCGCATGCCTGAGGAATGGATTCAAAATCACAGCTCTATAGCGTGTTCTGCAAATAAAATCTCGCTTTTGGAGTACAATACGAGCGCTTCAATAACTCACTGAAGATGTCATTGAAAACTCTGCATATCAACAGTGCCTCAAGGGAGACCCTTGACCAAGACCGTCCCTCCTGACGTAGCAAGAATACATCTGGCGCCCGCGCAGCAGAACAGAAAATTAATGAGGCCCAGAGACAACTTGCCACTAGTAAGGCCATAGCTGCTAAAATCTATGTTTCTATACCCCTTGTGTTCGTTTCATGCGAGAGAGAGAGAGAGAGAGAGAGAGAGAGAGAGAGAGAGAGAGAGAGAGAGAGAGAGAGAGAGAGAGAGAGAGAGAGAGAGAGAGAGAGAGAGAGAGAGAGAGAGAGAGAGAGGGGGGGGGTCAGCGCCCGATTTGGCCTCACTAGTCATCTATCTGGACAACAGAAAACGGAAGTTATGATCGTGATCGAGACAGATGGACGAACATTATTATCGTTATTCTTGTTTAAAAGATGTAATCTTATTAACGTTTCTCGTTGGGTTTTTTTGGTAATAAGAAAGCTGCAGTTCATTTGGTAGATGGAAATGGCAACAAAATATGACCTAGTCAATCACATCTCCGTTTTTTCAGAGATTTAGAGATTAATTAAAGTCAATCCTTCTCAGCTTACTCTTAAGGCAGATAAATTGTTTACTTATTACTTGTTTATGTATATCTGCTTTATGTGTATTATCATTCATGGTTATAGCCATTAATGGTAATTTAATTACCAAAATGTTATGAAGATCAATGCGATTTTTAAATCTATTCTGACATAATACTTCATTAGCTAGTGTCACCCACGTGACCCTGTTTATGGATGAAATCAGTGCTCAAATATTTCAGATGAAGTGGAAAAACTAGCTGTCATGGAAATTATATGAAGTCATACAAAAGAATTTGCATTTATAGCTGTATTGGAAATACTGAGATATCTTTTGAGGGCATTTTAAGATTATATCATAATGCTTCTTACGTAATGTTGATTGATCAGTACATTACTGGCAATCATTCGGAATACATTTGGAACTCATTGGGGATTATCTAATACGTGGAATTGATAGAACATTTAAGACTTTTGGATTTAATTTAAAATACTGTAAGTTATTTTTAATTCTTTCAATTTGTAATTTAGGGAATAAAATTATTTTCAATTATACAAAACTTGTTGATTTACCCTCTTTCTTGTTGCATTTTTTAAACCATTTGCTCGTATCACTTGAATACAAATAGTCACAAGCTGATGCGAAAAAATTATATCTGTTCACAAAAGAGTTATGCTTGCAACAAAATCGTTTCAAGCAGTAAAAATCAATGAATATCATTCTACGAACCCAAGCAAGCATTTTTGCCTTTCTTCCTCAAACAGATTTTCACACATCTTATTAATTAACTTCGAACAATACATTTTAATTCAATAGTTAGCATGTTAACATATATATCCTGAATTACTCCTGTAGGAGTTTACGTGTTTCTCTAAGAAAAAGTACGATGTTTTCTTATACTTACCTTACTTTTGTATTGGCTCTAATTTCAACATTACATTTTACAGTATTTGAATATTTTTGAGAAATCGTTTATACTGAAGAAAACTCTAGGGACGTTTAGATACGTTTCATATTGCTGATTCGTTGCAGATTAATGTATATTTTGAAGAAGAAGAAGAAGAAGAAGAAGAAGAAGAAGAAGAAGAAGAAGAAGAAGAAGAAGAAGAAGAAGAAGAAGAAAGCACCTCTTTTGCACAATTATAAACATTGTAATAAATGAAATGTATTTAATGATTAATGATGTATTTTTATTATTATTATTATTATTATTATTATTATTATTATTATTATTATTATTATTATTATTATTATTATTATTAAAAAGTAATAACATTAGTAGTAATAAGGTTATTTGAGGTATTTTGCATCTGTCGTTAATTCCAAGAAAGCAATAGCAATCCTCCTCCTCCTCGTCCTTCTCCTCAACCAACCTTATTTAATGAAATAGAATAAAATATACCATCGTGGGAAAAAAAGCACGCAAATTATTAAATTTAGGCACAAAGAGTTATTCATTGCCATCTGATTCAAATCCTAGTGCAAATTCCATCTCCATCCAGTTACGCTCTATATATCTGGTTATTTATGAGATTTCTAAGACTGAGCATTTGAACTTCTTGGTAATGTAGTATATGGGAGATAATAATAACGTGGGAAACAAGATTTTTTAGAGTTATTTCCCTTATTAATATTTATTATCTTTGGCATTTAAATAATTAGTACTTAGCGATTAAAATCTTGATTAACTGTTTCTAACAATATTAGTAGAGAAATGTGATTTCGAGTCTGCATTAGACATTTATAAAAAAAAAACAAATCAAAGGTTACAATGGAAACTAACATACGTCAGGAACATAACTGGGAAAAAAAAAAACCTTATTGCACATTTTATGAATCCCTAAATATGGTTTGTGTCTGTTTGAAATTAGTATTTGCTAATTTGGAATATTTTGTTTTTGATCACATAAAGTTTACCCAAAGGAACACCAACGAGATATGTACTTTTTATTTAATTTATTATTTTTTTTTTAAATTTATTTTTCTGCTTGTTCACAATTTTTTCTAATCTTTAAATAAGATCCTCTAATAAATAAGAACAACTGATATTCAATTATCTCACCTCCACCAAAGCACAGTCATGATATAACAACATACAAAATAAAGCATAAATACATATATCAAATAGTGGAAATTGATAGAGTTTTGACAAAGATCACTCACGGGGAATAAGTCAAGTAAACCAGCCAAATTTAAATTCCACCGCGGAAAGTAGTATGAGACATCAAATATTTGGCCTTGAATCAGAAATGCCAGTCTCCTTTTAAATGGGGCTAAACAAGTATAAATCCATCTAAAAGCAAGTAGATTGTACACTAACAAAATTTCATACAATTTTATGAACATTCTGTTCAAATATTTTACACACTACAAGAGATAATTGGGGTAAACACGAACATACAAAACTTTCAAATTTTGGCACAATAGGGGTCACATTGATGGGTTTCCACAAAGCAAGCATGAAGTTAAATGCATTAGTACCCTCACTAAAAAACAGATTTTCCTCTCGTCAATATTTTCTTCGCTTTTGTTGTTGTAGTTTTTGTTTTTGTGGTTGTTGCTTATGTTGATTTATATTTTCCACCAACTCTCGACTTACTTCACATTTTATTTAATGTTGCAATAGTTTAAATTAACTTCACCTTTTTAGAGCTAGTGAGGTTTTAATTGATATCGTCCTTTAACGAAAGGTATCTGTCCATAAGCCGTGGTATCAGAATTTTAACAGGAAACTCCTTTTAATAAAGCTAGTACTGATTTCACCATTGAATTTAAAATTATAAGATAAATTAATTCAATGCGTTGTTCCTAAGTGATGATATCGTCTGAGCAGACATAAAATACGGTGCATAAACGGAAATTATTCATGCACAAAGTGCTTGCAGAAACGACAATATTGATTGGTTGTATGCGCTAACAAATATCAATTAACTTGCGGAAATATAGAGAATAGCACGTTTGCGAGAAATCTGGAAAATCATCTTACTGTAGTAGTACTAATAGTCGTACCAGCACCAGATTCTTTGAAGGTGGCTGACGTCATTATGGTGCAATAACAGGCTTTGAACTCAGGACCAACACATTTAAAATTATAAATCTCACAATCTGCTTAGCATATGATTTAATGCTTGGTCATTAATTGGTCTCAAATAAATCTTTGCAAAGCTGGCGATAAGTTGCATTGCTAATTTTTCTAACAATACAGGTTTTAGCAAAGGTCGTAATTATTTTATTCAAACACTATTGGAATTTCAAACAATAGACCAGTAGTATAATCATATAACTAGAGTCACTGACATAATTTCTTTTTTTTGTTTTAAGACATGCATCAAGAGTGAGGCAAATTGCCAATGAGGCGATGAAAATAACAGACTCCAAAGAAGTTCAGAAGCTTAAAAATGTATGTATTGCATCAATTGTGTTTTAAAAAAATATAAAACTGAATAATGTTGCCTAAGGAAATTGCATGAAAGTTTTTTTTATTTTTAATGCTGGTTTGACCCTTGCATAAGCCTATCAATGAAACTTGTAAACTTGGACTCCATTTAAAATCTTACACATTTCCTTTAGAAAAGGCATTCTTGAAGAAAAAGTGCAAAATGAGAGCTTTTATCAAAACAGTACCATCTGTACTTTGAACCATCCTGGTGGCCTAGTGGTTAGAGCATCTGCCTTGGATGGATAAGGTCGTGGGTTTGAACACCAGTTGAGTCATACTAGACTTTAAAAAATGGTACTAACAGCTGCCTCACGTGGCGCTCATCATTAAGAGGTTAGTGTTAGGACTGGTTGGCCTGGCGTCACAATAATGTGACCGGGTGGGACATCATGCCATGTCTGCAGCATGATGCCCCAGTGCTAGACATCACTATAAACTGTCACACTGCAGACATTGTATCGATATGACTGAATTTTTTTTTAAAACTATGCTAAAAATCTAAATCACACATACTTGCTTGTAAACAATATAGATCCTGATCTAACATTACATAATATGCCAGCAGACATGGGTCCATGTTGTTTGTCATACTGATTACTTCTAACAAACTTAACAGTCCTAAATGCCAGGTCCCAAAAGCATGCTGTTGGACTGGACTTATAAATGAATATATAATGAGGTCCTGAAATGAAACTTTTAAAGTCACGCTTAATTGTTCAATTGTGTCTAATGTGCACCCATCCTATAAAGTGCAAGCAGACCTGGCCTACTGATCATAAAACATAAAAGATAGATTAAGGTCTGTGCAACTAGATATGTTAAACCCGAGTCAAGAAATTTATTGACATCTGCATTGTTTTCCAGATTATAACCAAGCTCAAGAAGGGAGAGCAGATTGATGAAGAGGACTAATGTCACTGGACACAGAATCAGCCAATAGTTTAAAAAAAAATGAAAAAAGAACCCCAAAATGCTGTGTTTCTGTATTGATCAGAAATTAGGTCTGTGATATTTACAAATATTATTTATCTAGATTAGAGATCTGATCATAAATGTCTAGAAATGATGACAGTATGACCAGTTTTTTTTTTATATGTAAACATTCATATACAGTGTACCGGTAAATGTCTGTATATTAACAGACCCTTGTTAGAAAATATTGTGTTGCTATAGAAAATGATATCTCAATTGTATTGTAATAGCACAAAATAGTAGTATTCCTAGAAATTGTTTTATTTGGTTCTCATCTCATTTTTTTTTTCATGAGCTTTGATGCTTGTGCAACATTACCATCTTTATTTTAAAATGAATAAAAAAAATTGAAAATATATTGTTGCAGAAAATACTGACAGTATAATGCTTACAGTTCTCTGAGTTCAGGAAATAGCAGACCATGGACACCCCCCACACAATGAAACCTTATCAATGGACTCTTCAAATTCATAATACCTGTTGGTAGTCGTCAGACTAGAAATTTGTCAGATGAACTTTACTGTTTCAATTTGTAAACAACTAATGATTATGCTATTTCCATCTTTCTTTAAAAACATGACTGTTTTGTAAATCTGGCACTGTCTTAATGTCTTGCACAAAGAAGTTTATATGTATATGTGTGTGTATATGTATGTGTATGTGTATATATATATATATATATATATATATATATATATGTGTGTGTGTGTGTATATATATATGTGTGTGTGTGTGTGTATATATATATATGTATATATATATATATATATATATATATATATATATATATATATATATATATATATATATCAGATATTTATTTCTTCATTGACAACAAGCAATACAGCCATAATATTACAAAAAAAATCATTACAAGACTGTTTTGCACTACTTCCATGGTCTTTGCATCCTGCATCACCATTAGTGCAATGGTATGACTATTGTAACCTAAGATAAATGCATTATCAAATGTAAAATATCTACTTTCCTGTCTTCTTTCTTTCTCAATTTTTCTAGAAACATCAGGTATTAAAAGCAAATCTATATTATGTATATTATTTTCCAAATAATAGCGTTTTAAAGAACTTTAGTTAATGACATATTAATACCAAAAGCCTATGATCCTTGTTTCCAATGTAAGATAGGTGATGTATAATGCGGCGGTCAATTTTATGCATTTAGGAATTAAATGTCCTCTCCTCCAACCTTTTTTATGACTAGCTTTACAACTAGGACTCGAGAAATTTATTTTTACCATGCTTTAAATGCTTTGCTTTTAGTGAATTGCATCGTAAATCCCAAAAATGATCACTGAATGATGTAGATAAATTTTTTTGACAAGCAAACTAGGATCTCTATTCCCACCAATGAAACTTACACGATTCTACACCTAGCACTAATGTACAATATATATAAGATTTAATTATAATCATTAAAATAAAAGAAGGAATAATGAAACATATCACAGAGTATATATGCCCCTTGTATGCATATATGAGTTAATAAGGAAATAAGGTAGAATATCAAATGTGAGAAATCGTTATCATATGGTGCATGAGACCACATTTGAACTGTTAACATAAATTCACAGCCATTTTTAGGCATTATTTATAACAAAAATGGGCATTGTTTATTTGTCAATCAATTGCTAGTGCTTTTACTCCCTGTAAAACTGGCAGTTTCTTTGAAGTATGTCGAAGAGGCTCGAGTCTAACCTTTATTTATTGTGCAGTTTTGGCACAGCTGACCAGACTATCAAATGAGGGGTGGTGGTAAATAATGCACTCCATAGGGAGAAACAGCATGTCTTTTGAAAATTTTGTGTGTATTAGACCCGAAAAATCTGTTAATATTTAGTGAAAATGATGCTTAAATTTGTTGCAATAAATTCCTGATGGTAGGACCCCATCTGCATGTTTTCAGATTTAATCTGCCAGTTTGGTTCGTGAAAAGATTTATTTTTTGCACGACATGCTAGAATAACAGTACGGTATTAAATAAATTTATTAAGCGACTATTTTAGTTCTTTGGAAATCTTTCTGTACATTTAAAATTTAAACACAGAAAAGGAATTTTTCATTGGAATGTATACAGACTTCTTGGAACTACTGGATTTGAAAGGGGTTTTAGGAAATAGGAATTCATTCACCATGCTGTAAGTGAATTTAATTCTTTCACTCCTCTCCTTTGAGAAATAAATTATTTTCAGTTACGTAAAACTTTTTTGATTTCCTATTTCTTGTTGCATAGTTTAAATCCCTGGAGTCATAACACTGGTCTTAATGGCAAAATTAAAAAAGGAATGAACAAAATTAACAGAATCACAGCCAGTTGTAAATGAATTGACAACTTGTGTCTTGATACATATATCACAGATCATTTGCTTCAACTTTTTATCATACCTCAACTACGGATTCACCAGTTTCCAGCTGTCTAGAAATTTTCGGGAACTTTTGACCCATTCATCATGATGTAATAATTAACTTAAAGCATTAACTACCATCTCTACAATTAGATGATGTTGGACTGTCAGGTATAAATAACATCCAGTTCAGTGAATGTTGTCTGATGAATTTGCACTAAATCTAAAATGCTGTTAATTTTATTACCTTACTCTTAGGATGAGATGATGATCTAACTTACGCTTATAATACTTTTGATAGTATATAATTCTGACTTGAGATTTTGTCCATTTGCTCACAGCAATCGGTACTTCAAAGGTAATCAGTTTTCTTTTAAGTTTCAGTAAAACTATTTTATTGATATATTTAAAATAACAAAAGGATTAGACATCATTCAGTTAATTGTAGTTGTTTCTGTCTTCAGTCAATTGTAGGTATATTCAGGTAGCACGACAGAGTCTATTATTGCATAATATTCAGGTCAAATGTCAACATAAGCAGATTGTGATGTAACTATGATGGGTTTTATCAATACCAACAAAGGATTTCTTTATGTAACAGATAGATCCAGTGCATTGTGTATGGAAGTGTGTGGCTTCTTTTTGTAGTCCCTTTTAATTTCTCCACTCCAAATCCATGATTGTATGTACGAATTAAACAGCCAAAAAGGCTGTCACCAAAAGAAATTCACCAGATGATATATTTTGTTGCCAAAAAGAGAAAAAAAATCACAATTTGTGACATTGGCAAAGCCAAGGAAAATTCCTGCAAATGAAAGAATAGTGTAAGTAATATGTAACCAGCTACCCAGAGATGTAAAAGAAAATTGGGCTGTCCAAAGAAGATGCCTTTTGGGTAAAACTTAAGTGGAAAACAATAGTGTAAGTAATATGTAACCAGCTACCCAGAGATGTAAAAGAAAATTGGGCTGTCCAAAGAAGATGCCTTTTGGGTAAAACTTAAGTGGAAAATAATAGTTGGGAAAATCTAACACCAACTGGATAACATTGATAGTGACAGAAGAAAAGTGATAATTTCAAACTGTTTGGCTGTAAAATAATTTGTGATTGTTATTTTCATTATTACAAAGTAATTTCCTGGTATTTTTTCTTTCTGACATTCTTTGTTTATAACTGACATCTGCTTGATGGATGAATTATTAAAAAGTATGATTTAATCCATACATGGTTCTGAGCTAGCAAGAGAATTTATGAACTACACACTCTTTTTTTGATAAGAGTTGTTGCCCTTTATTGTCCGATGAGAGTCTTGAAAGTGAACATACAATGCATTTGTAATCTGTCATAAATGCTACTACCTTCTGATATTTTGCAGTGTGGATAGGCATGTGTATCAATGGATTTTGTTATTTTATTACATTTAACATATTTATATATTTGAAAAATTAGAAAATGTTGATGTTTGATTTTTATATATAGCAGAATAAAGGATATATTATACCAAATAATTGAAATCATAAGAAAATTTCATATTTGAGTCTTCAACATTTATTTTTTTCTGCTGTATTTATTATAAAATAGTTGAATATATTTTGGGTTATTTTGTTCTACCTTAACTTGTTTACAGTAAACTTAAAATGCATAACCTTGGTCTCCCTTATTCTGTTTGACATTGAAGCAAGGATCAATTTTAAAATTTGCTACAGTTTAGAGCTGAGTTTTTAGTTGATTTCTGTTGAGATGTATTTTCAGCGTATGCTTTTCTTATGTTAACAAGTCCAACATACAAATGCGACTATTTCATATTTATTTTAACAGTTACTCTTGGCTAAATAAAAAAAGTTTATAATTGATGATTATCTTCTTTTATTCCAAATATACATCATTGTTATTAATGTTATTAAAATATACATCACTGTTATTAAATATTACAGCATCTAAAA